AGTTGCCTAGATTAACAGGCACACTCTCTTCCTTTTTTTGTAACGTCCAAACATTGGCACACATGCATGTACACACGTATGCGTGCGTGCGTGCGTGCGTGCGTGCGTGCGTGCGTGCGTGCGTGCATGTATGCGGGCAGACATACAGTGATACACGCACGAATGCGCATACGAACGCACTAACATCTGCAGCCAAACACGCACGCACACGCGCACATGTGCACAGGAAGGTAGAGGGGGAAAAATAAGGTTCTTGAGCGGCTAGCCATGGAGCCTCAGCAATGGTGTGTGCAAGGCTGTCTACTAACAGAAACGTGCATTGCAACCTGCTAATAACATATTCAGTTTCTGAATGGAAGGCAGTTTTTTTCTTGGCACTGCAGGCTGACCATTCACTGAGAGACTTCAGTCCAGATGCAGAGCCAACGTGTCGGCTCAGAGCCAATAGCGCTGACTCGTCTCAATCACGTGACCTTTGATCAGCTAATCCAGAGACATTAGTGTTTTCACACTGCTCATATAACGCTGTTACGGCATTTCTCTCGAGGGCAGCGACATTGACTCCCACCGCGCCCTCGTTAATATAATTACAACGCAAGCAGCCGACCGCTATTTTGACTTCCTCATCTCGGTGCGCGTCACAGAGATGTCCGTCAGGGCTTTAGTTTTCACAAAGTCTACCGTCTTGTACACGGTGCCAGCGTTCGACATGCTTTGACCAGGCAAGTCCGGCATCTTGGGCGGCGGCGACTTCACAGGCCGGCCGCCGCGCGCGGTCTTGCTCGAGCTAGCTCTGCTAGGCATATCCAGGTCCAAGTCGAGATACTCGATGGTTCCTTTAAGTCGCGGCGCGGGCGGAACGAGATCCTGATGCTGTGGGAAATAACAAGAAATCACATAAGGCGTGCATACGTGACCACTGGAGCGAGCACACGGAAGTGTCACCGAGTCACGCCACTATGCTTATATTGGCTTTATTGCATGATATAGGGATTGGCATATACCAGCACCGCTTATATATCTCAAATCTCCTTTGCTCTGGCATACAATTCAAATGTGTTCAGGTTTAAGCAAGCGTGTCGAAACCCTACACGTCTGCTGTTTGACATCCAAACTCGATCACGTGTGCAACTTCCTACAGTCCGTGACTATACTCCCCTTGCAGACTACCAAATTTAAAACCGCTACAGTTCCCCCTGGACTTATTGAATATCGTCACAGCAGATACTTGCCTGGTAGAGCTGGTCAGTGGGCTGTGGTTTGGTGGTCAGAAGCGCATGTGGCTTGCCTGTCATCAACACGTGTTCATCGTCGTCAAAGACGTTGCAGCTGCTGCCACCTGTGCTCGAGTCGGAGGTCGAGTCCCGCTGTGCGCGCTGAGGCAAGTATACGTCTGAGCGAGCCGTCCCATTGGCCGTGTTGCTGAAAATGCATATCAGGGAATAGGTTTACATTTGTACGTGCCATGTAAACGAATGAAATGTGAGCCTGTATTAATCAGCCCCATCGCAGTCTAGATTATTCCAAATTACTAAAAATCACTACTCTAGAATAGTCACCTCACAACCTTGAATCAGAAGTACAAATAACAGTAGCGTAATCACCAGGTTTGTAGGAATTACTCACGAAGAAACATGCAGCTTTTCATGTGAAATAGCTGCATGCATGGATGAATTTACTATATTCAGAGTACATGCATAAATAAAAGCAACCTTTATCTAAGAAATCAGGTTTTCAATCAAAATAGCTAAATCCGATCGGAATCAGACTGTACCTGAAAATAATGAAAGGAAAAGGGGACAGGGAGAAAGTTGAGTAACATAATTATTCATGGTATCGAAAAGCTCATCCATTGATTGTCAATCTTTGTTCGGCATGGTGAGAATAACAACTATATGGCCCAACTACTGCTTAAAATGCGCTGTCAGTATTGCCTTTGATGAACATTCAAAGTTGGTGCACAATACCACGCACTATAGGTTTACGGTATTACTCAGTCAAAGTTGATATGCGCTGGATTCAGCTAAAAATTTAATTCCGAACGCAGAGAATTAGCGTATATTGGCAGAAGCAGAGCAACAACCTGCAAATTGGCTCGCATTTTTTCTAGCTCCCCTAATAAATATTCGCGTTCATGCATTTAATCAGGTCTATGAAGACAAGCATGCAAGCCAACGGGATACTCACGCGATCATACGCGCACGAACAGACAAATGTACGCACGCGCACCCGCGTACGTTTACACGCACGAACGCATGCTCGTAAAATGTGTGTCGTCCTAATGTGGTCAGGCATGCACATTCGCACCAACAAACCCCGGCCCCTCCACTCCGAGGTCGAAGAGACCGCATGCGTGTTCCCAAAATCTCCGGTAAAGGAGTATTTTTCGCGAGACCAAATCCGGCCCAAGAATTGTAAAAAAGGGGGTGTATTTGATTTTTCACCCGGAGATTTCTTTAAAAAGGGGGTGTTTTTCCTCTCTCTCTTTCATCTTGAATATCATAGAAAACTTTATCAAATCCCGAGATCAAATTCCTGAAATTAGTGCTAGTTTTGAACGCTCATTCAGGATTATTTCATTTTGAAAAGTAAAAATATTGCCCCCTAGTTCCCCTCGATCACTAAACTCTTCACTACGTAGTGTAGACTGGTACCCGGTCAACAGTTCCACACGCTACACTAACGTTACTACGTCAGTGTAGTGAAGGATATGTACCGGAATGAAAGTGGCGAACGGGTACCAGTCTATACGTAGTGTGGAGTTCAGTGCCATCTATCGACTCGATAGTACAGACTTCTCGAAATCTGTGATAGAGATAACAACAGAACGTGTACATGGAATACGGCATGCGTGATTTTTTTTCCTAGGTCAATCAAGAACATAGGGCTGTAATGAGCGCTGCTATTGGTTGAGCTTGTTTTCCCGCAATATACATAGCACATGCAAAACTAGTATTCACGATATGACTCGATAGCCTAGCGCGTATAACGCTGGCGTCAAATTTCATCATATGGGTTAATTGTTACAGTTCTGCTACAGTCTCCTGGTCTAGATCTTCTAGCTCTATGTAATCACTAATCAGGGGTTAATAATGACAAAGTCATGACATTTGTCATTATTAACCCCTGATGTAATGTAACCCATAAGCCCTGACACAATGGTAAAATGTTCCTTAGTAAATGTCCCCCCCCCCAAAAAAAAACCGTCCTCAACAGGAGCTTTTCACCTCTCTAGATAGCCCTGTCTTCAAGCAAAGCGATATCTAGGTAATAATGTATAAATCTAGGTATAAATGTATATGACTGCTACCAGTAATGAAACAAGCCTGCCACTATGAATTTTCGTTTTGCTAACACGTTAGTATATTATACCGACTAGTACCCCGTACCCCGATACCCCGTACTAGTAATGGGCATATATGCGATATATACCTATGGGGATAAACCCGCACCCTCAGATTAGCAAAGCGGAGCTATAACGTCTGCATTTGCGGACTATACCCGAGGTACATATATATATGTATACACAAAGTCTACCAGACTTGTACTACAGAAGCAGGGCTGCCAACATTGGGTGATAGGTGAGAGTGAGATGTGAGGGAGCGAAGCGACCGAGCGGGGGTGGGCGTGGGAGGGGGATTTTCCCTCCCACGGTAGGGAGCTTTTGCATTTTATAACTTCAATTTGTGCAATTTGGTGCATACCAAAGTGACTGTTTTCAGATATTGCACGATTTTTTTTTGCTGTGCGTGAGATATTTCAGCGTTTTATTCATGAAGCGTTTTATTCATTCATGCGTGAAATATCTCAGCATTTTTTTGCTGTGCGTGAGATATTGTAAGATCAGCGTGAGAGCGTGAGATTTGGTCAAAATGCGTGAGAGTTGGCAGCCCTGCAGCACAGGGGCATGTAACGTACTCCGTGGCCCATAAATATGCTCTCTAATAACATGCAAGCTTTCAAATTAACCCGGAGTAGATTCGCTAACACCCAAGGTGGACTGGCTATATTCTATGTACATACAACATAGAATATAGCCAGTCCACCTTAGGTGTTAGCGAATCTACTCCGGATTAATTTGAAAGCTTGCATGTTATTAGAGAGCATATTTATGGGCCACGGAGTACGTTACATGCCCCTGTGCCTGATAGTGATAGTGATACTGATACGACGAGTTCGACTCAGGGGAGGGATTCCACCCAAAGTGGGGATTCCACCCAGACGATTCCACCCAAGAGGGATTCCACCCAGACGATTCCACCCAAGAGGGATT